ATATATGCAGTGTATTATTTGTTGAAAAATAAAAATAAAAAAAATAAAATAAAAATAAATAAATAAATAAAAGGTCATGCTTGTTAAGTCAAAAGCTTGGCGTGATGGCACCTCTTTAACTCTAAAACCTTTTTTAATTCGTGCAAAAAAAACTGAAATATATAATCTTGCATGATTGAAGTTTATTTTGAAGCTCTCTCTAATATATAAGTGATCTGAGGTACTGAAAAAGACTCTGAGATCTATGGAAGATGTTGCCACCATGAAATATTTTAAAGGGCTGGGGAGATAGCTCAGTTGAGTGAGTGCTTGCCTGGCAAGTGCAAGTGCCTGAGTTCAATCCCTGGATCCGCAAAAAAAAAAAAAATATTTTAAGTATGCTGTTCCACCTTTCTATACCATGCTAAGCTAACTTTCCCCAATAATCAAGTTCTCTTATCCCAGTACTATTTTTCCCTGACCTTTTTTTGAAGGCAAACTCTTGCTTTATACCACAGGCTGGCCTGGAACTTGCTGCAATCCTGCCTCAGGCTCTTGAGTTCTGATATGACAGATTTGTGCTACTTCACGTGTTCACCCTAAACTTTTTTTAAAAGTAAAAAATTCAACTTTGTTTACTTCAGAGTGCTGAGAGCAAGTGTTAAAGTAATTAAAAGTATAATTTAAGAGTAAGTTGCACCTACAAGGGGCATTTGCATTTAAGAACACTGATTAACATAAAAAACAGTGGGTATATTTTGAGCAGAAAAGCCCTTTATGCTTTGGGGCTGAGAACTTCAAATAAGAAAGGTTAGATCCTTCGGTTCATAAGCGTGATGATTGGGTGTTCATGTCTTATAATGCATGAGATGTGCCTCCCTCAAACCTTGTTATGACATGGGCACATTAGCCATCTGATGTTAAAAAAAAAAAAAGGTTAATAAACTGGGGGCTGGGGAGATGGCTCAGTAGAATAAGCGCTTGCCTGGCAAGCACAAGGGCCTGAGTTCAATCCCTGGTTCCGCAAAAAAAAAAAAAAAAAAAAGAATAAACTAGAAGCTGTTCCTGCAGAATAAAAGTGCAGCTAACCAAAACTAATGAATAAGCAGTTCTTAAAAGAGGAAAAAAAGACTACAATTTCTCTATTCCCAAATGATAGAGAGCAACTGGTCTATGCCTGTTAGATACTGGGGTGCACAGCAAGAAGCAAATAGCAAGTGAACGAGTAAAGCTTCATCTTTACGTACAGGTACTCCCCACTGCTCGTGCACCTGAATTGTGCCTCTTGTCAGAGCAGTGGAGGCATTGAGTTTCTTATAGGAGTGCAAACTGTTGTGAACTACCCATGTGAGGGAACTAAGCTGCACACTCCTTATGAGAATGTAATGCCTGATGATGTGAAGTGGAACTGAGGCAATGACGTTAGCAGGAGGTAAGCAGCTGCAAAGACAAATTAGCATTAGCCAAGAGCTTTGAATGCACAGAGACCAGAATAAACCTGTTGCAGACTCATGTTAAAACCTATCAATGAGGAGAAAGGGACATTTAAGTTGTAGTTGGTGGCAGCTTTACAGTGGCAACTCAATTGTACACCTGCATCTGGTGGCATGCTTTAAGTCAGAATCTAATAGTAACCTCAATCTGTGCATGGCCCAACTATTTTATCTACCATTTCTACCTATACCTCTTTTCCATATTGTGTGCTGTCTCACGGTTTTGATAAATGTATAAACTAACCTAGTCAAAGTGAGTAAAAGACAAACATCACCAGAGACAGTGACAAGATAGCAGAAACTACTGCTAAAAAAATGAAAGTGTCATTTAAAGACAATACGGCTGGGGAGATAGCTCAGTAGAAAAGTGCTTGCCTGGCAAGTGCAGGGTCCTGAGTTCAATCCCTAGTACCACAAAAAAAAAAAAAAAAAGACAATACGAAGAGTTCTACTTAAACTACATATTCACTGAAATGGTGACTCACATTTTCCAACATTGTTTTGTGAAATGTACAGTGACTAGCTATCAAAACAAAGCCATGAAACCTTCAAAATCACTTCATCAAAAGGAGATCAAAAGGGGGCCGGGGAGATGGCTCAGTGGAATAAGCGATTCCCTGGCAAGTGCAAGGGCCTGAGTTCAATCCCCAGCTCCGTCAAAAAAAAAAAAAAAAAAGAGATCAAGTACCACATAGAGATCACACATTAAAAAACAGGTCTTTGAAGTTTTCCAAAGTGAAAAAAATCACCAACATAAAAACTAAAAGCAATTATTGAAAGCTACCATATCATCAAATGTGGCTGCACAGTATTCTCAGTGGCTAACTGCATTATTAAAGCTCAGAAATCCTTTACAAATGGCAAAAAATTCTGATGTTGCCTACTGCTAAGGTCATTTGTCATGAACTTTTAGGAGGCTGCAGAACACTAACTAGATAAATTGATAAAATAGCAAGGACACTGGAAGCACAACTGTTAGAGAAGATTACTGAGTCACTCTGGTATACAATCCAAGTTGATGAGTCCACCGAAGTTAAAAAACAAGGCAACGATGCTTGTTTTCATCTGATGTATTTTCCAGGGGGATGTGGATAAAGATATCCAATGTGCACTTTTGCTGCCAATCAACATGACAGGCACAGAACTATTCAAGTCTTTGAATAACTATATATAAGGGAAGCTGGATTGGACATTTGGGATCAGTATATGCATGGGCAAAGTGGTTACCATGACTAGCAGGCTTTCTAGTTTCTCTTGTGTCAAAGAGGTTGCTTCTGAATGAGTTTACACACTGTGCCATCCATAGAGAAATGCTAGCTAGCCAAGAACATTACCTGAACTTAAGATGTCATGGGATGTAATTAAAATTATCAACCACATTAAAGTATGTGAATTAACTGCGATCTGCTCATTGCACTCTGTGAGACGAATACAGAATATATATATACCTTCTCTTACATAAGGAAGTGAGATGACCTAAAAGTTGATTCCCTGGCCAGAGTTTTTCAGTTACAAGAACCATTCCACAAATTTCTTTCAGAAAAACTACCATTAAACAGAAGACCCAATGCTATTATGGGCTACTGGACTCTTTTAGAATATTTTGCTGAGTTTACACACCTATAATATTCAATAACGGAACTTA